GCAGAACTTGTCTTGTGGGAGTTGATCTCAAAAGAATAGGTGAAACAACCCGAGAGGAAAGGATGTCAGCCATGGTGGATCTGGAATGGTAATCAGGTGGTCCAGGCTAGAGATCACATTTGGAGTTGAACAGCAATGTTTAGATAATCTATATGATGCACAACAGAGAAAGTACCAATTTATGAAGGCTAAAATCAGATAGCAGAGTCCCTGCTCATTGTTCCCTGACATGTTGCCACCAATCATGGAGTGGTTTGAGTTGGAAAGGACCTTTAGAATCATGCAGTTCCAACCCCTGCTAAAGGCAGGGACACCTCCCTCTAGACCGGGTTGCTCACAGCCCCACCCAGCCTGGCCTTGAATGTCTCTGGGGAGGAAACATCCACAGCGTTCTCTGGGCAACTTGTTCCAGTGTCTCACCAACTCATAGTAAACAATATCCCCCTGACATCCAACCTAAATCTCCCCTCCTTCAACTTAAAACCATTTCTCCTTGTCCTGCTGTTATCTACTCTTTCAAAGAGTTGATTCCTCTCCTGTTTTAGGCTCCCTTGAGGTACTGGCAGGCTGCAATGAGGTCACCCCGCAGCCTGCTTTTCTTGAGGCTGAACAAGACCAGCTCCCTCATCCTGTCTTTGTAGGGGAGGTGCTTCAGCCCCCTGATCATCTTTGTGGCTCTCCTCCAGACCCTCTCCAACAGCTCTCTGTCTTTCTTGTACTGTATCGTGCTGTTGCTTGCTACTTGCTTGCTTTTTTGTTCCGGTCATTCTATGAATGATATTAAATTTTATAAGATTACTAACATTAAAAAACATAAAGATTTTTTAAAGTATTTATAAAATCTTTCCTCGCTTAATACTGATAATGGCAAGTTTTCCAAGATTTGAATTTCTTTAGCAATTGTCACGATTATTATGTATGCACTTTTAAGCACCAAAAACCCTCAGTAAACATATTTCCATGTAAAGGAATTCTTCTTAGTGCACTACACTCAGAAGTTGAGCATGCAAGATATGGAGTACAGAATGTGTGAGGCCAGTGCTTGACTCTGAGCAGAACCTACAGACAGAAGATTTTGGTGTGTCTGCACAGGTATCAGGAGGGCTGACAGTCAGGAAGCTGGTTGAACAGTGAGGAAGTGAAAGATTACCAGAAACATTTACAGCAGGGACATTTTTATCCACTGCCTTTGTTATTTCAAACAGATAGTTAACTTGAAAGAAATCCCAATGTTTCCTCTAGGTATTGACATCAACTACAAGGAGTAAAATGTATGCTTATATTAGGGCCGGTTTTCCATAGCCATTTAGAGCAGAGGCACATGTGAGTACCCGTACTGCTCTTCAGTGGTGCACTGGCTGCAAACTCAGCAGCTGAAGGCTCACAGGCATTAGGGATGTGCTGGTTTAACCTGGCAGATGCCTAAACACAGCACAGTCATTCACTCAACTCCCCCAGAGAACAGGGGAAAAAAAACGAAGTAAACTCATGGGTTGAGATAAAATTATTTGCTAAAATAGAGAAAAGGCAAAGGATAACAGGACAAATATATCCATATTTTTATGTGTGTATATAGCAAGTGATGCACAAGCTATTGCTCACCAGCCACCAACCAATGCCCAGCTAGCACCCTCAGCAATGGAAGGGAGCATGATGAACTCCCACTCCTTTCAAAACTCCTTCCACATGATGTCATGTGGTATGGAATGTCCCTTTGCCCAGTTTAGGTCAGCCGTCCTGTTTCTGTCCCCTCCCAGCTTCTTGTACCCACCCCCAGCCATTTGTAGGAGAGGAGAAACTGGAACAGTCTTGGCACTTTACAACACTGCTTAGCAACAACTAGAAATGTTGTGTTATCAAACATTATTTTTCTCCTACAACCAAAACACAGCACCATAGCAGACACTGTGAAACAAACCAACTCTGTCCCAGCTGAAACAAAGACAGTATAACCTCTGAGTCCATGGTTCAGTTTGTGTTTGATTAGTTGGGTTCTGCTAAAAGAGTTCCTAATTGCTTGGCACGTTCTTAGTTACAATGTCCACTCCAAAAAAATCTGCCAGATTGCAAAGTACATGACACGAAATGGTATCCTGTGCTAATTTTGGATATTGAAATCCTCACCAGCACCCTTTAGGACAGAGTGGTTACATGCCTGCTGCTCTGTGCTTTGTCATTAACTCTTCTGCATGTTGCTGCTACATTATGCAAATGCTGCACTGGCTTTTTTTTGTCTCTGTGACCAAATCTATGGCAATTATTTCATAAATTACTGACTGATGGGTACACTTGGAAGGAGGGGAAAGAGAGCTAGGAAATGGTAGAGAATTCATAAAGGAAGTGGCTCACTTTTTCAGACTGTCGCCCCACAGATATTAATGACTGCAAACCTGATAGGCAGTCACAGAGGCATTTGCCACACAACTGCGTGTACCATATCAAGAGATAGGGTACCAGTCAAGAGAGTTGGTAACTTTTAAGCGTGTGTGAATTAAATAGTCACCAGTTATTGTTCTTTTACTTAGTTTTAGAAAGATTAGTTGAGATAATATTTTTAAGAGGAAAACTCAAAACAGTGACACCACGCTTAGATTTGTTTAAGAGAAGAGATGCTTATCAGACTGCTAAATATATTATAGTGAAAAGTAATAGATTACAATACATTTTTCATCATCTTAGATGATCAAATTTATGAAAGAATACAATTGCTCGTTTTAGGAACCAAAAGAATAAAAGTAATAAGAGGCTTGAAAATCATCCAGCAGTATGAGGAAACTGAAATTAAATTTAGATTAAACTTCAATTTTATGAAGTTTACATGAACAAGAGTACAATGAATAGGCACTGTGACAGAAAAAAGGGAAGAGCAAACAGGTGTTTACTAACAGTACAAGCTATTGACTTAAGAGGGAGACAGATGACACTGCAGAAAAAAACACCACGATTTATTTGTACTTTCATGTAGATACAGCAGTAATTGAGTAACTAATCTCTAAATCGTTGCAGAGGGAAAATGGAGACATTTTCGTAATGATTTTCATAATGGTGAGATAATAGCACTAAAAGGAGTAATTTGAGGATTTTAAATGAGGTTTTTTTCGTGGCCAAGGTAAGACAAGAGTGGCTACTGATGACACATTTCAACACTTCCCAATATGTGCCAAAGATAAGATAAAGGTAGACCAAAAGAAAGTCATAAACTGTATTAGCGGGCAGTTTATAAATGTTATCTATTTAAAACAAACAAGCATATAGAAAACTTTAATTAAAACCATAATAGGAAAAAGAAAGATACAAAAGGAAGTTAAACAAAAAAAATTGTTAACTAATATGAGAAAGGGGCCTATAGATAACAGATGCCACTAATAAAATGTGTGGAAAGTAGAGCTTTACCAAAAAGGAAATGAATGAGATGCTGCGCCTCGAAAGGTTAAAAACTCAATGCATTGCTCACTGGTTGAAAACAATCAGTGAAAGATTTTCCTTCACTTCAGTGAGATAAATGCCATTTCAGCTCAGTCTTTGTAGTGGTCCAAAAATAGCTCTAAATGTTAATGGAATGAAATTCCCCTTCTTTATTTAACGTAAAGGAATTAGGCAAGAGTGTGCATTGTCTCCTCTTCCTTTTCACAAAACACCAGAATCCCATCTTAAAAGGATACAAAGCAGTACGTTGGAAAAATAAAACTGTTAGAAATATTTCAGTAAAAAGTTTTATTTAATTATATTGTCATTTTCTTTTTCCTAACTGGAATGTTTCATCGAAATTTGAATAGATCCACAAGTTTTAGAAAGATCCCGACTTATATAGAGGCTGCCATTCTGAAATGCCAGCTGTAAATTCACAGATGGAGAGAAACACAGTTCATAAAACGATTGAGTTTATTGGGCAATAAAGCCCCCAAAACACTTAGGGAAAAAATCTCATATACCCAGAAGAACTGTAGAATGTAGGTGTAAAATAGGCATTTCTACAAATGGAAATTTTTGGAGTGCTGAAAAAATTGTGCAATTTCTTGCAAAGAAAGTATCCCTGACTAAATTTGTTATCATTCTTATTTCATTTTTTACTAATACTCATTATCAAATACAAAGTTTGAATTTATATGGAATAAAGAAATCTCCATGTTAAAGTTCAGGTGCTTTTTATGTGTCTGCTAAATGGTATATACCATCTGATTTATTGCTCCCATATAAGTACAAGAAGATGACTAAGAGTATCTTTGACTGCTTTAAGTTGCTGATATCTCATGTATTAGCCATATACCATCATTTTATTCCTTATGATACATCATATTCCTAAAGCAGCAATGCAAAAAATGTTCCATCCCTGACAGTGAAGTTGTACTGCAGAGGACGTGATCAAAACTTAGCCTCTTAAGTTTGGAAAATTTCCAATGTTTATGGTCTCCCCAAAACAAGGTCATTTTCAAAACGCCCTCATTTCTGTGCATCCTGGTGGTATTAAATATGGGTAGTGTTATAGAAGCCTCTTTATTTAAGTTCATTTTCCACAACAGGAAAATAGAGTGTAAGTGTTGAACCAGCAATCAAGCATAGTGACTAGCTTTCAAGCTAGCTGTTTAGTAACTTCCTCCAGTAAACTCTTTTTCCACCATTGCTCAACACTTAGTAGGAAGTCCTGTGCCCATAAGCAACTTGATATTGTCCTGCTCTTTTTCTTGGAGCTTCAGCCTGTATACTTTCTACTCAACTTATGCTCATACAACACTTTGTCTCTGAGGGAGCGAGAGGATATCAAGCACTATTTATGCTAGGCAAAAAGCCAGGAATATGCTGAATATTCAGATTTGGACTTCAGGCAAGCTTATGATTTAAGTTTTGAAAGTATCACTTTTCCATTGCTTTCCTTTCTGATGTTGAAAAATGGCTACTTCCATCAGAAGTAAAATGAAGTCTTAGCAATGTTACTACAAATTTGTTTTCTCCCTCACCCTGTATTTAAAAAAAAATGGTTTTTCTCATTATTATTGTTACAGAGCCTCTTCATGTGAAGCTGCTCTTCAGGATGTATTGCATCAAACTGTCATCATAGTAAACAGCAAGAAAGTAGAATGGGAAAGGAAGATGAAAGCTTTCAAAGCACGGATGGATATCCAGCATCAAGAATCAGCAAGTGCCCAAAGCAAACTGGATCAAAAAGGTCAAGAGGTATTTGAAAATATCAGATCTGTAAAAAAGTTTATATCCTGTGAAGAAGTGAGTAGTGTGATCACAATGCTCTGTTTGTAGGCTTATTTGATCTACCATGCAAAAATAGCAAACTCTTTGGAGGTCACAAATTATCCTTACTATTTTGATTTAAAGTGGGCTTCTGTTCTGAAAAGTGATTGTAAAAATGTCATTCAAAGTCCCATATTTCTTTTATTTCCTTAAAGTTTAAATCAAGTATTCTCAGATTAGCTTTGAAAAGATAATTTGATTTTTTTTCCTAGATGACAATACTTCTACTTTAATCAGAAATTTTAAATGGAAAAATGCAGTTCCAAAAGTTTGACAAAATTATGTCACTGTAATTCATATTTATACACCATTTTTATCATTTCACATGCTGTACTGGCATTGAATGTTAATTTCAAACTGAAGGCACCAGCGGATCTGACATCAACTGCAGTTCAAGTCGTGTGTGCTGAGTACTGTCTCAGAAGTATCGGTGAATCCTGGCACGACATTCAGCTCCATTGCAAGACATCTGAAGTTAGGTGTTAGGTGTTTACATGTGGGTGTCCTCATGTGTGCTAGGAGCCAGTGGGAGTCTTGAAATGGATCTCTCTCTCCCTAACAAACAACTGTAGGAACTTGGCCTTTGTCATTGCAGTCAAAGGAGCCAAGAGAATAATTCAGCTAGCCAGTCCTTAAAGCATCAATCCATTTGCCCACACACAGATGTTATCTGAAATATTTTAGCACATTGCAACTGGCTTTCAGCTGCCTCTCCAAAAACAACTAGGTATCTTGTAGGCTCTTTGTCATATTTCCCATGTCTCTGTGAAAATCTCAGATAATTCAAGATGTAAACAATTCAAGCAAAATTCTTATGTTGGGGCACAGCAGCTCATTTCTATAGTTGGGTCAGAAATGCTTCGTTAAGGGATCTTTCATGACAGACTCACATAGTTTTATCATTAATTCATCATATAATATGCAGATTGATTGCTGCAATCTGGCTTTGTGGTGTGTTTTAACTACTTTGTCAGCAACTGGAAAACTTACAGAAAACTAACTGCAAAATGGCTCAGAATTACGAAACTCAGCTTTGTGCACTTAAATCTCAACTAAGAAAAATATCAGTTTTGTTATTTTCTGATTGCATTATAAAAAACTCATACGTGTCTTATGGTATAGACACACCTTTATGGATTTTGGGCCCCTCACTGCAAGAAAGATATTGAGGCCCTGGAACGTGTTCAAAGAAGGGCAACAAAGCTGGTGAGGGGTCTGGAACACAGGGCTTATGAGGAGAGGCTGAAGGAGCTGGGAATGTTCAGCCTGGAGAAGAAGCTCAGGGGAGACCTCATTGCTCTCTATAACTTCCTGAAGGGAGGTTGCAGTGAGCTGGGGGTCGGCCTCTTCTCTCGTGTAGCTGGTGATAGGACCAGAGGGAATGGCTTCAGGCTGCGCCAGGGGAGATTTAGGCTGGATGTTAGGAAATGCTGCTTTTCTGAAAGAGTGGTCAGGCAGTGGAATGGGCTGCCCAGGAAGGTGGTGGAGTCACTGACCCTGGAGGTGTTCAAGGAACGTTTGGATTCTGTGTTGAGGGACATGGTGTAGTGAGAACTATTGGTGATGGGTGAAAGGTTGGACTGGATCATCTTGTAGGTCTTTTCCAACCTTGGTGTTTCTGTGTGTGATTCTGTGTGAATTGTGTAATACAAATGATGCTGACTGTGGCTTCTAACCTGTCTCCATTGTCCTGTACTGAGACATACAAACTCTTTGGATGCATTTTGATGTGAAGACAAGTATTTAAATTTCTGACTATGGACTACTAACCTATAACCTCAATAAAACACATAATTAGATTCATGCTAATATGATTTGGATGCACATTAAGAATTTTGAGATTTAAACTGCTCTTGCCACTACTTTGCTATAGACTTTTTTCTGTTATTAGTTTGATTGGTTTACAGGGGTTATTAAAGAAGTCTGATAACTTTCCACAAGGGAACACAGCAGTAAAACCAGAGTAGCCTGGCTTTGTGGAGTTGTTTTGGCTTTGTATGTGTTGCTCTGTGTCTGTGCTTTTGTTCACCATTAGTTTTTCGTTTCAGTTATGAATTCAGATCCATAACAAATTCCAAACTATTCTGATTCTGTTTTTAACAAGTTCATGTCCACATCTCTACATTGTTTTTCCTGCTATTCTACTGTTTCCTGCATTGAATTATTCTACCAAAGAGTAAGTGTAATTAAAACTTTCCAGTCATCACACTTACCACAGAATTCTTAAATTGTCTAAATTGGGAATCATTATTTTCACTTAAAGGTGATAACACTTATCACCTACAGTCCATCAAGCCAATAAATATAGAATTTATTTCAAAGATGTCTCGTTTGGATTTTGTGTTGAGGGACATGGTGTAGTGAGAACTACTGGTGGTAGGTGGATGGTTGGACTGGGTGATGTTGTAGGTCTTTTCCAACCTTGGTGATTCTGTGATTCTGTGATCCTTTCTCTCCCTTCTTTTGGTTCTTATCTTCACTTGAACATTATACCTCCTTTAACAATGTACATCCTTAAGAGCTGCCATTTAATTTTGCATAAATAGCATGTTAATATTGACATCATTGTATCTCTCTGTGCAGATGTTGTCTTAAAATCCCTTGCAATTTTTGTTCCTTCCTAATCTTGACAGAAATAGAAAGGGCTGCTTTTTCTAGCTCTCCCTAACAGTATTTAGACTATTCAGAACAAATTTCTCTATGATAACAATTCTTCTGTAGTCCTCGGTGCTTTTTACCCTTGATACTAATATGAGCAACTGTTTAACGAGCAACCTTCCCACAGAAGGTTTATATTCCAGTTGACTGCAATAAAGTATTATTTTGTGTTAGAGAAATAGCTCCTGATAGCTAATCTGAAACTCTTAAACCACACTTTTGCACTCATTCACATGTATAGCATTTTGTTATACTTCAATAGCAAAAACTTCAGGGATTCATCTTAATTATTTTCTGGTTTTCTTTTTGTTTTTTTAATTTAATTTTGTTTTGTTTTTCCTATAGTGATACTTAGTTACTCTCAATTTGAAAATGGCAGAAAACCTTTGGCACAAGAAGGAGAATCCATTCTTGTTCTAAGCACTTTAGCAATTAAGTGCCTTTAGAATTTAATGTCCAAGTCTGAGCTGCGTCATGCTCCCTTTAGGAATGCAAGGAATCCTTTAGGATGGAAGGAATTAAACACTCCTGGAATACGATTCCTCTCAGTGTATGCTGAGATGAGAGAGGTGAAATGTATAAGCATTTGAGGGCAGCTCTTTCTAACTCTGAATAGCAGAGCCCTCCTCAGGCTGATGTAGAGTAGCAAACTGTTCAGTGACCACACTTCTGAAGAATCCTGTACTTCTGCTGATACCTTCCTGACTTTGCCTTTGACACCTAAGCCATGCTTTCATAGCAAGATCAATAGGCAGAACAGTATTTGGGGTCTAATTCTCAAAGATGCTCTTTGGAACTCCACGATTCCAGAAGAAAGGAATCACCCCATGCATAACCTTTCATCAAATTCCATTATAGAAAGGAAATGCGCAAGCCTAAAATATTTTAGTGATAATCCTTCATTTTGGTTGATGAAGCACCCTTTAAAATTGTTAACACAAGATGGCAGTAAACAAGTGTAAAAATTTCACATAAGCACAGAGGCAGTGACACTATGGGTAATGGTGCCATAGAAATCTTCAGCATAATTAAGTAGTTGTTAAATGAACCTACTTGAAATGTTAGTTTACATTTGAGGGAGAGCTTAGTTCATCTCCAAGAAATTCATTTTATTAAATGCTTCTTCATTGTATTGATTAAATATTAGAATGTTGAACTTGCACTAGGCAACTCTAGTTTAATGAGAACTTTGGTCACGCAGTCATCCTTGACAGATTCTGTCCCCCTCTGCTTTTATTTTTAGTTTTTGAAGCTGACACGTAGTTATAACAAGCTATTAAAACAAAAAAATCATCGAAGTAGAGAAATAAGTAAAGAAAGCCTAGAGACATCAGTTCTTCTGAACAACTTAAAGAAGAAACTGGAGGTAAGAATATTTTGTTACCACCCTCTATTTTCAGTATGCCTCTAGAATTAATTTCTTGGTTACAGCTGTAAACTCCAAATATCTGATTCTTCTACAAAAGACACGTAAGAAAAGGTGCATAGTTTGATACTGAAGTTTTGTTCTTTCGCTGTTTTATTAGTGTTGTTGTTAGTTTTATGAGTTAACATACATCATTTGCTTCATAAACGTATTGATAAATAAATTTTACTTCCTGTAAGCGTACTGGAGAGTATCATCTGTTTAGGCATGAGAGTTTTTGCATGAGCAGGATTTTGTCACATGATATCTACCATTAACATAAGTCTTACAGACTTCAGGACAACTTCTATTGTGTAGGGCTAGATAGAATAAGGATTTAAGACTGAAAAACTGTTTGTTATAGACGCATCCTGTCAGCACTTACATGTCTGAGGCCATCCACAGCTTTGACTTCAGTGCTTAGTCTCCCTAGGTCACACATCAGCAAGGATAAGGCACTTAAAAATACAGTCTGCAGAACCCAACATTTTGAGTGGGGAACCAGGTAATCTGTGATGCTGAGGGTAGGACTCAGTCATATTCTCTGTTCAACCAGACACAGAAAGTATTTTAGCTGACTCATTCTTGGATACAGTAAGATGCTGATCTCTTATCAGAATTCCCAGCCTTGACTTCTCAAGAGTTTGAAGTTCCATTATTATCTGCTGAGTAGTGAAATATTTACTGAGCCAATGGGAGACTGACCCAGCACAGAAAATTGGCACTTACAGAGTGAGATTCCACATGGCAGCTTCTCCTCGAATACTCTTACGGTACATTCACTGGCACAGAAACATAGGACTGAGCAATATAATCTCTAGCTCTATTAATTTTTCCTTCTGCTTTCTTACTTAGCCAGTACATTTTCTTTGCAAAATGAAACAACTTCCAGAAGAGAAATTCTAGAAACTGTTGAAAAACAGCGTGTAGTTGATTATGTAGAAAATTAACATGAGGAGATGCTGGTTCAAATTCTGTTTGGAGAGAAGATTATTAAACTGAGTGTTTCCTGTACTTGGAGAACAGTCTATCCTCTAGTCTGATGTAGCATAGAAGGATCAGAAAAAAAAAAATCAGTATTTTCTCCAGCCATCCTTTACAGAGATCATGAAAAAATTAATGTGTGCTTCAAGCATTCCCTGACCTGGTTCTGTAGGGCAAGTAAGCAAAAGAATACCAGTAGAAACTAAGTGTGAGCTAGTTGCATAGCTTTTAAGCATGGTGAGGACTTAGATGCTCGTGATTTAGATTTATATATGTTTATGATGGTAGACAATTTAAACACTTGGAGAACTCCACAAATGAAATCTTAAGAGCTGACCAATTATAAATACTTTCATACTTAAATTACAATTTAAAAGTATTTTAGGATCTATGTTTTGATCTTGCCTATCCTTCCTGTTATGATGTAACACGTAGGGGCAACTTCTGCCACCTTCAGGTCACTTTACATAACAGATAAATGATGTCTTTTCCACGTGGGAGAGTCCTTATCATCAGAAAATTTGCTAAGCTTTGGATTTTGGCAGAGCTACCAGCATCTGCCACTGCAAGAACAATAAATGGGTTATACATTGATAATTGACTAAACATACCAGTAGTCTGATACTGCCTGATCCAGCTCATTTGAGAATGATCTCATTCAAGATTAAAATGAGAAAATAATGTAAGACAATTCTATCATTTGATTAATTAAGCAGTATGAGAAATGATTGCTTGAAATATATACAGAAAATTCTAGTACTTAGGAAATAGTCAGTGTTGAAAATCTACTAAACTCAGCAGTCCTTTAGTAAGGCCTTAAGCCTGCAGTCCTCATTTAGCAGACCAAAACTGCATCTGTATGACATTTGGTGAAACTGAAGGTTTTTTGTTCATTTAAAATACCAAAGCACACATTATGAAAGCTAAAACTTGTATTAATCTATGTTGAAAAGCATTTGATCTCATTGCAGTAGCTGTGTATGTATGTGTGTATTAGAGGAATATGTCAGTTTAAGATAATTATAAAAACTCATCTCCCTTTTTGGGACCAACATTTCCATTGTGAAAAAGGCAGATCCTATAAAGGCTCATAAGAGCATTTTGCTTTTCGCTGTATAAACCAATATCAGAGAACCACAGAATCACAGTATGGCCAGGGTTGGAAGGGACCTCAAGGATCATGAATTTCCACCCCCCCGCCACGTGCATATATACTGTAATTTTGCTAATTGTTCATCCAAACAAGAAGAGCTAGAACTTTATTAGCCGTGGAGCTCTCCCATTTATTTGTAGACTATTGCCTTTAAAGTCATTTGTGACAAGAATACAAGATCTGATATAAGAAAAAATTCCAGCAGTGTAAATGGGAATATAAATACAAATATTTATCAATACAAGCATATGTATATAAATACAAAACAATTCTATTTATATATAAGTCTAAACCCAAACACAAAACTACTACTAACAAAACCTGATTGTAATAACATTTCTTGAAAAGTTCGTGCAAACTAGGTGAAGTTAGGAAAAAAGTCCAGAAGCAGCAATTGAACAATTCTACAAGAAGTAACATTTATTCACTGTAGCTGCTGTTCCTTTGCTCAAGAAAAGGAACAACCAAAAAAAGCACTCAAAATATTTGTCTGATTATTAAGGGTTTGATCCCATGCTGATTACTCTTACTTTTCTTTAAAGTCACAGGAGCTGCCTGCCTTCCAATATAATTGGTGTTTTATAGTCATAACTGTAAGATTTACAGCAATTGAAGTGATTTTAAATACTTTGTCATTTCTATTCAGCGATTGAGACCTTGGTGTACTGATGGACAGTTGGCTGAATGTGAGCCAGCAGTGTGCCCAGGTGGTCAAGAAGACCAATGGCATCCTGGCTTGTATCAGGAATGGTGTGGTGAGCAGGACTAGGGAAGTAATCATGCCCCTGTACTCAGCACTGGTGAGGCCCCACCTCAAGTACTGTGTTCAGTTTTGGGCACCTCAGTACAGAAAAGACACTGAGGTGCTGGAGCAGGCCCAAAGAAGGGCAAGAAGGCTGGTGAAGGGCTTAGAGAATATGCCTTATGGAGAGAGACTGAAGGAACTGGGACTGTTCAGTCTGGGGAAAAGGAGGCTGAGGGGAGACCTTATTGCTCACTTCAAACACCTGAAAGCTGATGGCAACAAGAATGGAGTTCATCTCTTCTCACTGGTGACAGGTGACAGGATGAGAGGAAATGGCCTCAAGCTGCGCCAGGGTAAGTTTAGTTTGGATATCAGGAAACACTTCTTTACAAAAATAATTTTTAAGCACAGGAATAGGCTTCCCAGGGAGGTGGTTGAGTCACCATCCCTGGATGTGTTTAAGAACCATTTGGATTTGGTGCTCAGGAACAGGATGTAGCGGAGGGTTGTTAGTTGGGGTAGTATGGTTGGGTTGTGGTTGGAGCCGATGATCTTTAAGGTCTTTCCAACCTGAGCAATTCTGTGATTCTGCAATTCTATGCTTATTTCACCACGCAACTTTTTCAGATTACCAGCCTCTAAGATTATTTTTTTCCAGAGAGGCTGTCTTGTGGTTGGATGGCTGTTTTATATCATTGGGGTTTTTTTCTTCTTTCCAAAATTATGGAAATATTACATATCAGCTACAGAACTGTGCTTTTCTTAGAATGATAAAATTAATAAATTATTTAGATTAAGGAAAAAGAGTAATTTTCCTTCTGCTTAGTAACTTTGTTTTGCTGTATTTCAGGAATTTGAAGCAAAATTGAGAGAATGGGATGAGGAAAAGACAATCTTCCAAAATCATCTCATGTGTTTAGAAGCTCAGCAAAAATTATTGTCTGAGAAATGTAATTCGTTTCAGGTAAAATTCCTACCTTCCTTCTTCAGAAGGAAGTCAAGAATTAAATGAGCTGTTTGCTCAGTTTGAGTTATTTTAATCTATGTTTTGAAATCTAAACACTCCTAAGCTTATAGCAAACGTAAAAATAATATGGACACATTATTTTAAGTAGGAAAGATCCATACTGAAAGATACTGATACATGCAGTTATTTTAATTTTGTTTTTCTTATGTAATACAAATAAATCTCGCAATGAAAACTATGATATTTCCTCTGAAGATAACTGTAAAAAGCAATGCATGTTCCTTTTTAATTTTTCAGGTATACTGTGGACTTAGATTTATTGTCTATGCTATTTACTAACATATGTAGGTTGCTCTGAAAGTAATGTCTTATTCATTTCCATGGAAGTTGCAACAGATGCAAAGAGAACAATAACACTGTTGATAGTTCTCAGCTGCAGAACACTATTTTTCAACATATTCACCACCATTAGCTCTGCATTTTTGCCAGGCACAAAGATGAGCCTGCACGCCAGACTTGTGAATGTCTGCACCAGCAGAGGTGAGCTGCTGTCACTGTTGCCACTGCAGTGACGTACCACCCACTGCTTCACTGTGCTCACATCCACTGTTTGGTCTCCAGGAACATTCAGTAAGCATTAATGAATGTCAGTGTGGAATTTTTTCCACACTGAGAAATTGAATTTCACACCTCCAAACTTCCATGTCAAGTCTCCATTTTGTCAGACTGCCATTCTGCTGCTCATCTGTCACATGGCAACAAAATCTGACAGAATATTAGCAGGAAATTTCAACCTCCACTGCCATCCTACCAATATTCAACTCTGACACTGTGGGTCAACAGAACAAAAACGGGAGGCATTACTTGCAGAGCAGTCCTTGTACAATAATTGTGATGACAAGTTATGAAATTTAACTTCCACTGTAGATAGAACATCTCACTCCTGTTTGGTCAAAATATGAAGCTCCCTCAAATCTGAGATATCGCCTCACTATTTGAGGATCATAAATGAACATTAACTTCATTTATACAAAAAACTGGATCCCTCTGTGCTGTTCCAAAAGCTCACTTAGATGTGTTTGTTGGATTACTGATACGTTTTTGATCATAGTTTTCATCTTTCAGTTACCACTCAGTCCATTCTTGGTTCTGTGATCCATTTTTTACTTGCCAGTTCACATAGTTCTTTATTGTATTTATTATATAACCTAGTTGTATAGAATATTTTTTATTGTGTTAAATATTTCCATTCTAGAACAAAGAATACATTTAATGATTTCTTGATGACCTATTGTGCTCTTAAAAAAATTTAAAGAAATAATTTAAATATTATTTGGGCTACAAAATAGCTCAAAATGAAGCATTGGGAAGCCAATTACATTGTTCACTGGTAATGCTCTTTTCCAGTGGGACTAAGCTCATTGAATCTTAATCTGGTGAAACATGTTCTTAATGATTCCTACGAGACTCTTTACCCATATCCACTATTTCCAAGGATGACAGTTACATTTCATTTACAGATCTGGAAAGCATTCTTTTGCTATTACTGAACTTTCATACAAATGGCTGAAAAAAATATGTCTTTGACTTGACAAATCCATTGGCTGGTGTATGTTAAGTTGATTGTAAAGTAGACAAACTGAAGTAGAGTACTCAAGATGATCATCCACATTTTTCTGTCAAATGTTCAGTTCAAATGGCTATCATCAGTGAACTCTCTTTGAAGACAGCTTTTGTCACAACTGTAACATCATACGAGTAACATCAGGCTAGTTTATTAATGATAAGTTTGATGGATTGTTTCTAAAGCATCAATAGGTTCTGCATCTTTGGTCCAAATTCTCATCTGTAAGATTTTTGATTTCCAGAATCAAAACTTTTATTTCACAGGATGCTTTGACATCTTTGCTTGTCAAACTCCATAACTTAGATGTTGGGGACCTTAATCTGTTAGCCACATACATTAGATTTACTTGCCAACTTATATAGGCTTTTTATTTAATATGCAGCCTGTGGTCCATTTCATCCAGCACAAGTTAAGAGAACACAATCAATGAAATCAGAAGGGGTCCAAAGAAAGAATTCCTTTTCGCAGTCATTATCAAGGAAATAAAATATATGCAGCACTACTTTTTTTATTTAAATTTTCTTGCTCAACTTGATCTCTTCACATGATATACGCTTTGCAGGTTATTGGTGTCATTTTTCAGCTAATTCTGAATTTCAGTCTTCTGAAAGATTAGTGCTGCTGTGTCCAAGTGGAAGGATCTGTATGGATAATTTTTTAAACAGTTACCATAGTGATTGTGGTTCTTCACACTGCCTATGAATTCACAAATACCACCAGTACCTATTTTCTGAAGTTTTCTTTTTAGAATTATTTAATGAGTACAAGAAATTGAAGAAACTGAGTGGACTACAAGACTGTTTCCAGAGATGCTGAATGTGCAAATGATTTTTCCACAAGATTAACAATAATGATTAAAAAAAATACAGTTACTGCAGTAACTGAGCTACAAACTGCATGCTACTCACCTTTTAGTCAAAGGCTAATGCCGATCCTGAGGCATACACACACATCTCCTACTGAGTTCATTATATCGAAGAGTAACATTTCTCTCAAATCATTTTTTATAGGTAACTGCTTTGAGTAAGTCATCATAATCACCTTGTCACTTGTGAGGCTAATTAATATCAAAGTGCGAGGGAAATACACAACAGAGAAAAATTGTTGAAAAAATTCTGTACTCTTGTAAGTTTTAGAAATGTTATTCTCACTGAACATGATGAACTTGAGGCTAAGGAAGGGAAGTGTCTTTTAGAATAGTGATACAAACCTTTCCAAAGGTGCCATCTTTTCTAAGCAAGTCCTGATGAAGAAAATAGAAATTAGCTTAATCACTTCAGTAGAACTGTTTTGACCTGAAAATTTAGATGTAATTATTGAATTTCATTAAAAATATTTTATTGTTTTATAGAAGCGAACTCGGAGTTATCAATTCCAGATAAGCAATAAGGAACAAAACCAGGAAGAGATTGTTAAATATGGCCAACCTGAAAGAGAAAAGGATGGGTTAATTGTTGAAAAGCTAACAGCAGCAGTTAATGAAATGACAATAAGCAGGAATAGATTAGAAGAGGAAAATCTGAAACAACTGAAAATGTTCCAAAGCCAGTGCCAGGTAATAATACATCTTGTTTTCCATAAATGTTGTGGAGCATTATTTTGGAGCATTATTTTAATATGACTATACTTTAAAAAGTAGTTCTAGGATGCCTATATACAAGGTCTGTACAGTTGTTTTTTGTATATTCTTTGCAGAAACATGGAATGAGCTGTGAGCAGTCAATTTTTTGAGTAAGATGTGAAAAACATTTGATATGCAGTAGTGTATCTTATTCTTGTCTATTTATCTCGATTTTTATAATTTTCCTCTCCCTGTAGCACCATAGAGTGAATTATCTTAATTCACTTGGCTCCTCGTATAAAAATTATTTGTACTGAATGCCTTTATCTGGTTTACATCTTGTTGCACAAATTGCCTTTTACATACTAAATAAGTAGATATAAAAGTCTATGGTATAGTTTATTGTTCTAAGAATATTCTTCAGTGCAGTGAATGTCTAGGCTGGCAGCATTGACGCATGAGATTTTATCCTATCTCTAGCTTAACATTTTTCTGCTCCTTTATGGAGACAGCTGCTTGTGCCTCTTCCTTTGATCATAATCTATGGATTCTTACAAGACCGAGATGAGATACCACAGAATCATAGAATGTCTTGAGTTGGAAGGGACTCCAGAGATCATCAAGTTCCAACCCCCTGCCACTTGCAGGGTTGCCAACTGCTAGATCTAATACTGGATCAGGCTGCCCAGGGCCCCATCCAACCTGGCCTTAAACAACTCCAGGGATGGAGCATTCATAATCTTTCTGGGAAACCTGTTCCAGCACCTCACCTCTCTCTCAGTAAAAATCTTCCTCCTGATATCTAATCTAAATCGCCACTCCTTTAGTTTAAAACCATTCTCCCTTGTCCTGTCACAGTCTACTCTTGTAAAAAGCTGGTTTCCCTCATGTTTATAAACTCCCTTCAAATATTGCAACGCCACAATGAGGTCTCCCCTCAGCCTTCTCTTTTCCAGGCTGAACAAGGCAAGGTCGTTCAACCTGTCCTTGTCGGGGAGGTGCTCCAGTCCTTGAAATATCTTTGTGGCTCTCCTCCAAAAGCTCTTAACTGTTAACTGTTATCTTAACTGTTTTGGGGGCCCCAGATTTGGATGCAGTACTCCAGCTGAGGCCTCACAAAGGCAGAGCAGAGGGGGACAATCACCTCCCTTGCCCTGCTGGCCACTCATCTTCTGCTGGAACCCAGGATATCATTGGCTTTCCAGGCTACAGGCACTGCTGTCTCAGGTTGTTTTTCATCAACCAGGGCCTCTGTGTCCTTCTCAGCAGACCTAGTCTCAAGGAGCTTTTCTCACAGTTTGTATACATATCTGGGATTACTTCAACCCAAGTGCAGAGCCTTGCACTTTGTTTTGTTGAACCTCACTATATTCACAAAGGCCCAAGTTCTCAAGTTTATCAAAGCCTTCTCAATGGCATCCCTTCCTTCTGCTGTATCAACTGCACCACTCAGCTTGGTGTGACCAGTAAACTTGCTGAGAATGCACTCAATCCCATCATCTGTGTCACTGATAAATATGTTAAAGAATACCAGACCCAAGACAGTCCCCTGGGGAACAGTGCTCATTACTGGCCTCCACCTGTACATAGAGCCATTGGCTACCACCTTCTGGCTGCAACTTTCCAACCAGTTCCCTATCCACCGAATTGTCCACCCTTCAAGCCTGTGTCTCTCCAATTTAGAGAGAAGGTTGTGGTGGGTGACCTTGTCAAAGACCTTGCAGAAGGCCAGGTAGGTGACACTGGTCACCTTATCTTTGTCCATCAGTGCTATCACTCCATCATAGAAAGCCTACAGATTGATCTGGAACGACCTTCCTTTGGTGCAGCCCTGTTGGCTATCTCAGATCACCTGCTTGTCTCTGATGTGCCATAACTGTCTTGAGAATATATGAAATACTAATCAACAAGAGATTTCAGGATCCTTTCTGCACACTCTTCCATTGTCCTTAATTGCTAGAAATTTCTCAAGATCCAATTTGTTCTGGGCTAATTCTTGGTGTAAGCTAATTCTTTTGATATTATAATGTAGATATTCTTGCACATTCAGCTTATTTCATATTTTGTTTTTAATTTAAAGGCATTGATCATCCTTTGTACAACTTACTTGCAATCAGAAAATAAAAATGCTGATTTATTACTACACGTACAGAGTCAACAAAGCCAACGAGAAGTGCTAAGCAAGGTACTTCATACTGTTAAGTGTTTCTAGATCTTACGCTGCAATCTTGGATTTTGAAAGCTGAAAGCAAAGTATTGGCCGTAATAATTCTTGTTATTTTTGGTAGAGTCATTATTGAAGGCAATAATCAAGTCTGTAACTGTAGTCATGGTTGTTTTCATGTCATACATTCTACAGTGCTGTTGATGACAAATTTACAACAGTAAATCGTCATAGAAAGCCTACGGATTGATCTGGAACAACCTTCCTTTGGTGCAGCCCTGTTGGCTGTCACAGATCACCTGCTTGTCTCTGATGTGCCTTAACATATCTTCCAGGAGTATCTGTTCGTGATCTTCCAGGGCACAGAGGTGAGGCTCACCAGCCTGTAGTTCCCCAGGTCTTCCTTTTCTTGTAAATGGGAGTGATATTTCTCTTTTTCCAGTTCCCAGGGACTTCATCTGACAGCTACAGCTTTTCAGATATAATGGAGAGCATCACAGCAACCACATCAGCCAGCTCTCTCAGGACGCTGGGCTGCATGTTGTCTGGCCCTGTGAACTTGTACGCATTCAGACTCATGAGGTGGTCTTGGACTTGCTCCACCAATGCAGTGTGGGGGAGTTTGCTCCCTCAGTGGGGTTTTCTACCTCTTATCTTCAGCCTTTTTATTAGCGAATATTGAAACAGATCAATAATAAGATTTTAATTTCTGTTTTTTTTTCCAGTAACATGATTTTGCTTATTAATCTAAGCACTTCAATATTCAGGAATATATTGAGTGGCCTATAGAGAATTTATCTGGAGAAAGATAAATCTGTGATTCTGTTGGACTGGATGATCTTGAAGGTCTTTTCCAACCCTGGAGATTCTGTGAAGATCATCTATTTTTCTTAACTTCATTTAACTTTAGTTACAATATACTTCACAGTAATCAAGATATATGATGAAGATTTATTTCAGGTATTGTCAGAACAACCAGATCCTGCATATGTGATGTTTATACATTTGATTTGCACATTAGTTCCCCAAGTCACTGGACTGTATGCAAGTTGACGGTATGCAAGCAAAAAGACCTGCTTTGGGGAATGTGAAAAGGTTTCCACAAACAGTAGTTGGATTAGAATATATTTGGAGAAGGGGGAGCAAGTTAATAAGGGGCACAGGAAGAGTCAATGGCAGCATGCTGCATCCTTCTTTAAGAAAATCTTCAAGGAAATGTTTTGTAGGGACATCCATACAAGAGAGCAGGAAGTGCAGGATCTGTCATGAGCCTGAAGGAGCAGGCAAGTGAGCATATGAATTCTGGATGGAGGACGAGGACAGTTGGATGTGGGTTGGGTGAAGGAAGGAGGAGGAGATGGGAGTCTTGGTGGAGACAAGACTGATTTCCATGGCAGCTAGCCTGGTAGTATGCCTCACACATCTTCCATGCCTGTGAGTACTTTATGTATGCTTCCACCTGTTTCTTTCATACTATTGGTTGGAAAGAATAGCAACCTGAATGGAAGGTGGGTTTGTCGGCTGTGAAGAAAACATGAATTTAAGAAGATCCAAACTGAGACTAAAGAGTATTTCTCAATCTCATGAACTGTTTGACAAACTTTGTTGCAACTGTACATGAGAGGCAGCTTGAGAACATCACACAAGAGATTTGGTTCTTGGAAAGTCGGCATTAAGTCAGACAGTGGACACCAATTTATATAGAAATACAACATATAACTGAAACAGTTTTGAGCAGAGTTGGAAAACAAAAGCTGATCACAAAAGTTTTGAGTCTTCCTTTTGATATCAAACATGGCAATCTTTTTCCCAAAATAAAAGAGAACGTTTGGTGAATTTTTCAACTTCAAACAGTCTCTGAAAAAAGTAATATTGAACTGGATATTTTCTAAACAAAATCTTATGCTTTCATTTTCATTTTGGTATTTTTTACTAAGTGCAGTAAATGGTACATATCTAATTTTATTTTTTTTAAATGATGCGTGAAACTCCTGACCTGAAGTTTCGTACTGCTGTGGCTGCTGTTATTGCTGGTATTGCTACGTTTCACAGGAGGAAATACAACTTCTGTAAATGTGCATGGAGACTGCAGTGTGCCACAGGTTATTTGACTTCCACTACAACTGTGAAGCATTCCCCTTATACGCTGCATAAACAAATCAGAGGTGTACCCACTCACACCTTAAATTAATGTACTATGTACCACTTGTGGCTATCTCTTGGATGTTAAAGTCATTAAGATGATCATAAGCAAGTTCCTGCTGACAATTTTAAAAATTCATTAAGCTTTAGTTCGCTAGAAGATGCCCAGACTTGCATTTCCAAGTTTAAAAAGCTATCTCAGGCTTAACACAGGATTTGATGAATGAATCTGTCCATACAATCCCCATTAAAAAAAACAAAAATGCTTCATATCTGTCTTTGGCAGCTCTTTCAGCCAGAGGAAAACCCTGGGCTTCTTGGAAGGAAGGTCATTCTAATATGAAACCACCTTAATTTATTACTGTTCTCATAGATGACTGTTGGCTTTAATTGACATTGAAATAAGCTTTCTCTATCCCCAAAGTTTTTATCTTTTCTTTATACCTTCTCCACATACTCTCCATATTTAAATGTTTTCATCATTGAAGATGATTTTCACTGATGAAGCCAATGTGCTTAGCCTGCTTCTTCAGAAAGTAAAGCATGTGAGCTCCCATAAGAGGTTACTATAAACACAAGCACAAATGAGGTGACTGCTCAAGGCAAAGTGCACTTTCATCATGTGGCAAAAGTGAAGGGACGAATCTCTGTTAGGACTGGAAACCTACTGACACAGCTGGATCTTAGA